GAAGAGCGGGAAAGTGCAAACTCCTGTCATTTCCTATCAGATTAACCAGCAAGGCAATCGAGTTCATTTTGGCAGCGAGATTTCGAAGGACTGGGAAAGTAGGACAAGGGTTTGAGGAAGTGGATCGTGCAACAGCCCAAAGCTGGAAGCAGGCCCTTCCTCTTCACCGACCTGCTTCTCTTATGAGAATTAAGCCTCCGTTAACTGCGAGCCTATTATTACTTGCCAGGCCCTGGGCTAAGTGCAATATACGTCTGATCGAACTGAAACTTGCCAACACATTTGCAAAGCGGGGACTTAGGGGCAAATGTCAACACATTTAACCACCAATACCGGTGGCCAGAAAGACCAGCCGCAGGGTTGAGGCGGGGTCCTTCGGTGCCGGGGCGGGCACAGGTACTGAGCCCGTAGTCGTGGGAATGTGGGCAGGTAGGAAGGAGCTTCTGGAGGAGGAGGGTTCAAGTGCCGAGAGCATCTGGAGGCTCTAGAGGGACTCGAGACAGTGCCTACTTCCCAAAGGTCAGGGGTCACACTCCAGGGCATCCCCGCCGGATACTGGTTATGAGAGTTTTCACCCCAATTGTAAAGGTGAGGAAACAGAGGCTCTGTGAGGCCACACGATTTATGAGTGACAAAGCTGGAATGAGAATCCAGTTTGTTTTGGTTCCAATGCCAAGGTGATCTTTCTCTCTAACGAATTTTATTTGTCACGCTTCATATTTCTATAATTCCGCACTGCATTTTTGTATTTCTCAAGGTGTCTCCACCTGAGCCACACACGATCCGCTCTGGTGTGATCACCAGGACAGGTACGAGTTAGGCCTGCTTGGCAGATACAGAAATTAAGGCGCAGAGCAGTAGGGCACGGGAACGACCCTCAGTGGTGAAGGCAGAGCCAGGGCCGCGAGCCCAGTCTCCAGCTCTCAGCCTCCCACGAGATACGGCGGCCGATACCTTTCTTGGCCTGCTTTTTGGTGGTCTTGCGGCTTGTGTTGGAAACCCCCGGGATGGATTTAATTTCGCTCTTGCTGACAGGGGGCGGGTGGAGGACCAGCTTCGGTGGCCTGGTGAGACACACGGGCAGCCCTGCTGCACTCATGAGGATCCCGGTGATTCCTGGAAGTGCAGGGCAGGGGTGAAGAAGGACCAACTGGTTAACTCCCCAGGGCTCCCCGAGTTCCTCGCTCCCCATCAGCCTACTGCCCTCCTCCCCGACGGAGTTCTCACAAGTCACAAGTCACGGATTGTCTTCTTAACCCTCTGCTTTTCGCAGAAACGGGTCCATTCACTCATCGTGGACAGCGTGCTTTGCTTTTCGCAGTCAATTCTCCTCCCCAAACTCTTCCTGCCCTGTGGCCCAACTGCCCCGACCCGCCTTTGTTTTAATTAACATCGAAATTCTCACTCTTTTACAAATGCTCACCACCTGCTTCCTTGCACCGGCTTCTTTTCTACCCTGAGCAAGACCAGTCCGGGTTTCTCTTACCTGCCAAGGCAGGATTGACGGGGCTGGACCCATGTAGGTTCTTCACGGGGACGGTGGGGACCCTGCAGAAGAAAGAGCAGAGGCATTACGGTTTTGACGAGTGGAACCAAATGCGCCAGGGTGAGAACTCCAAAATGTCACCCACTGAAGGCTCCACTTTCTTACAGAAACGGCTTATTCCTACTAAAGACACAGGGTTGTTAACACTGCAGCCAGAGGCGATACCTTCAGACCTGAAGTCAGACCATGTCCCTCCACACTCAGAACCTCAGAACTCAGAAGGGCTCCCCAGTTCACGCGAAGCCCCGGCGAGGCTTACGCAGCCCTACTCAGCCCTACGCAGCCCTGCGCGAGGTGCCAGCACTGGCCCCCCATCCTCCCATCTCTCCGATTCCCCCTCTATCACTCGTCTCTTTAGCTGTTTCTCCCATAAGCCAGGGATGCTCCTGCCTCAGAGCCTTCGCATAGGCTGTTCCCTCTGCCCGAAATGCTCTTCCGCCACAAGCCTGCTTGGCTCCGTCCTACGACTCCTTCGCTCTCGGCTCAGATCTCACCTTCTCAGCGAGGTTCCTGAGACCCTCCGCTTTAACACTGCTACCTCCTCGTCCGCCCCGCCCTGGGGCTCCCAAGCCCTCTTACCCTGCTCTACTTTTTTCTTCTTTTTTCCCCATGGAACTTACGAGCTTTTAAAATAAGCTGCTGCATTCTAGGGCCACGCCACCCTGAACAAGCCCCGTCCCGTCTGATCTCGGAAGCTAAGCAGGGTGGTGCCTGGTTAGTACTTGGATGGGAGACCACCTAGGAAGACCGGGTGCTGTAGGCGTAAAAAATTTCAAAAAAAAAGAAAAAAAGAAAGAAAGTATTGTAATCTGACAAGGTCCTTGCAATCTGTGAGGTCGACCAAGGGTTGCCTCGCCTAAAAAAAATCGAAAAAATAAAAAAATAAAATAAAATAAGCTGTTGCTGCTTATTATCTCCCCTTCTAGAATCTAAGCTCTATCAGGGCAGAAATCTTTGCCCTTTGTGTTCAGAGCCTAACACTAGCAGCCATTCAATGACCATTTGCTGAAAGAATGAAAAAAACAAAAAAACACAAAGAAATGTGTTCAAACCTGCGTGTACATAAGAGTCACCTAAAACTTTAGGTGACTCTTTAAACAGACAGCGCCCTGGGCCTGCACGGCAATGTCCAGCTGTGGGGCACAAGGACTTGCGTTTTCACGGGCTGCTGCTGGCAGGATGCAGATGCCGCCAGTCGCCAGTCCAGCATGTGGAAACCATGGCTCCGACAGCTGCCGCGTCTCCTTTTCCCTGAGAGACGTAAATACCAGGCAAAGCCTCCTCCTCTTTACGTCCTACGCCCAAGCAACTCAAGCCAAGCTGGAGAGGACAACACACAGCTGCCTGGGAGAGATGAGGCCCCCCACGGTGCTGACTCGAGGACCATGGGGTGTGCAGGGCTGGGTCTTGCGCCGTGCCTCCCTGCCGCCCGGGCTTGGAGGGCCGTGTCGGCTTGGAGAAGCCAACAGGGTGGGTCACAGATGGCTCCAGAAGCCAGCAGTTCTGCTATGAGGTTAGAGTGGTATCGGGAGAACAGGAGGAAGAAGAAAGAGCATGTTGATTTGTTTACGACTTGTTTATCTGTCCACTCATATTGAGCCCGACATCGTGCTGGACACTGCCAGATGCCGGGGACACAGCAGTGAACGACTCAGCCCAGGAGCCTTCTTCATCCATGTGTTACAATCGCTAAACACGGACAGAGCCCACCTCGTACCGGGCGCGATTCTAACTGCTCACGACATGTCATCGCATCCTCCCAGCAACCTGTGCAAGAGGTGTTATTATTATGCACCCCATTTCAGTAGGCAGGGAAGTCGAGGCACAGAGAGGTTAAGCAAACCTGGTAAAGATCACACAGCTAAGGATGCGGACCCAAGAAATCTGGCTCCAGAGCCCGTTTTAGCCACTTGCTACGCTGAGCTCTTGTGTCTGTGTCATCTGTCACCCTACGCTGCAGACAGAGACCATCAAGCTCAGACAGTGAAGGACTTAACCCATGACGGAGAGGGGACGGCTGGAACGGACCTCGAGGCTGAGCCGTGGGTCTGTCTGTCCCCCACATGCCCAGGGGTGCCTCCCCGGCGATGCCGCGTTTTCCGGGGACCATGACACGTGCTCCAGGCTTGTGAGAAGGACATGGAAATAACAGATGTGGGAGTGTTTGGGTCTCAGCGGGACACCCGCCAGAGGCTACTTTCTTCGGAAACTGTCCCCAGGATAAATCAAACCCAGGTGCGGGGAGGAGAATTTAAAACAAGGGAAAGCCGGCCAAGGAAAGAGGCCCTGATGAAATTCTGGACTCCAACCCGCCCCACTGGGCCAGGCATAGTGTGATGGATGGGAGTCAGGAACATCGGGTTCGAATCCCAATCCTGCCAGTAATTCCTCATCCTGTCCCTTAACTTTGGAGTCTTAATTTCCCTACCTGTGAGGGTCTGGGGTCAAAAGATGCCGGGGAGATGTCTTGATGATTTCCCACCCCAGTACCTAAGAAACAGGTGGCAGCCTAACCCCTGGAACTCCACCCAGGGCCCAGTCGCCTCTCTACCCGGCTCCATCTGGAGAGGCTGGGAGTGAGGGTCTGGCCCCCTGTGCCTGTGCCCAGGCTCCCCACCAGAGGATAGCATGCCGCCCAGCCCCACACCTGCCTGTCCCCCTTGCCAGCTCCAAGGCCCCCACTCCTGCTGATAAGTAGTGTGATGTGGGTGACAAAAGCTACCTTTGTTCCCACAAACTGGACTGGCAGGTTTCCACACCCAATCTGCCTAACCAGGAAATAGTCTGACTCCCCGGAGCACACCCCCCAGGCAGCCCCAGAACTTGGGATGGGGCAAGGTCTGAAGAGAGGGAGGGTCTGGCATGTGGGGGACTCCCGTGGATACTGTGGGAGACGTGGGTGTCCCGGCCATGCCAGGAAAGGGACGACATGGCTGAAGGGCTTGTCACTAGGCTCTGGAAGGCACTGGGGATTGGAGAGAAGGGGTATGTTTGTTTATGAAATATGGAAAGGTATAGTGGGAGGAACTCCCACAAAGGGGCTGGAAATCTGCCTCCACCTCCAGCTGTGCATGGACCTGAGCCTTTGAGAGAGCCACGCAGCCTGTGTGCACCCCATCTAAGTCACCACAGCTGTAAACAGGGCACTCTCTCTCCCCAGGGGGGCCCTGTGAGGATTTAGGATCTAGAGCAAATACTTTGTAAATAGCCAAGCGTTATGCAAATTTGGGTGATTATTTACATTTTTCTTTCCCAACTCTAAGAGGAAGTTAGGCTCGATGTAGTCTTTTCCTGCTGTAATATCCCAATTTTCTCAGATTCTCGAGGACTTCAAGTGTAAAGGGCCAAGTCGAATGCTGGGCAGCACTTAGGACTGTTGAGTTGGTGACAACCGGTCATCCCTCCCCCACGGGTTACTGGGTAAAATGAAAACCATGGAGACTGGCCCAGGTAGTTCACACGGATCAGAACCAGCTGAGGCCCCAGCTTCACACGCCAGCCCTCCTTCTAGAAACCAGCAACCCAATGGCAAGCATGCTTCCACATCCTCCAGGCGGCTCGGCTCAGCCCCGCTTGTCAGCCAATCAGAAGACACCGCACTGGCCCCCATTCTGTTGGGCTGATCCCAGTTCTGGAGGGTTCAAGTTTTCATTTCTGTCCCTGAAATAAAAAACTAAGGAAATAGAAAAGCTGGCAAGGTGGCAGGGGAGGGGGCGTCGAAGGCCGGGGAATAGCTCTGTACGTATCTGTGAGCAGCAGGGCTTTTCCTGGGGTCCTGAGCCAACCTAGGAATCCTCGGGCAGAACCGTGTCTTGTCTCTCCAGCAACCGAGGCCTCGCTAGAGAGAGAAGAGCCTCCGTTCCGCAGGACAAGGCCAGAGGGCCGACTCCCGCCCTCTGCCTACGGCCGCCTCCCCCCCTTCTCTTCAGAAGCCCCCTGCTTGTGTCTCTGAATAATTCACAGGATCTTTTGTTCCCCCCAAACCCTTCTCTGCATCCCACCTCTCCCACCCTCCCTGGCCTTCCTTTTTTCCGTGGGAAAGTTGCTTGAAGAGGTCATGGGCAGAGAGAGGAGGGGGAAGGGGCCACTGGACAACAGAAGGTCGATGGCAATGGCAGACAAAGGGAATAAACACGCTAATTAAATGGCCAAGAAAGATTGGAGGGGAAGATGGTAGTGGGGGTGAGGGAGGTGGTAAGAGGTGAAAAGGAAAGGGCTGGAAGATAGAGAAGGGGAGGGGAGGGCCTCTCACGTCAGGAAAGCAGAACGGAGAAAAAAAACCAACGTTTTCTATAGCCCTTTTGAAACTGCATTGCCCGGCCTTCCACCCTATTCTCTCTCTCCGATTCTACTGGCTGGCAGAGAGACTAAAGCAGAGAGATAAAGAGCTGCCCACTCCCTCATTGGGATTTAAAGCGATTTGGGGTTCCTTTCCTTCTGTTGCGGCATGGGGTCACTTGGCATTTGTCAAAGGCACCAGAAGTGAGGAGAGGCTGCTCAGCGTTCGCTTCAACAGTTACCCAGGGCACATTCAGGAGATGCCCGTGAATAACACCAGCCGCGACAGCAGCAGATTCTGACCGGACGCGTATTACGTACCGAGCACCGTGCTAAATCTGTACACCAAATACTTCAATTAATCCTCATGACAACGCTATAAGGAAGGTGCTGTTATTATCCCCATTTTACAGATGAGCAAACTGATGACAGAGGATGCAAAGCTCGCCCCAAGTTACACAGCAAGGAACTTGGGTTCCAGCCCAGGCGGTCAGGTTCTGGTGGCTGAGTTCTTATCCACATCAGCAACTACCCTGAACTCTGTCCGAGGCCCCTAGATGCCATGATGTGACTGTGGAGAAATTGAGCAGAGGCACTTTTAGGTACCAAATACTCCCACATACTTCGACCTGCTCGGAGGAAGTCATATGCAAGTCCCACGCTTCTGACCAGCATTCGACCATTTATAAATGGCCTTTGCCTACAATGAGGAGGTGGGTTTGAGCAAAAAGAGCCGTGGACCAGGAGACTAAAACCTGGGTCCCACGCCCTTACTCGTGGGGCCTAGCACACAGCTCTGTGGCTCCCCCTGGGGAGTTATTTCTGAGCTAAGTGCCATGCCTGCCACTTGCATCACAAGGTAAGGGAATGGGATAAGGCCGTCAAGTGCACCTGTGAGTTTCCTGAGTGGGGAAACTCACAAAGACGCGACGGGGCGGTCGGGGCAAGCGTCACACACGAGGACCTTACGCAGAGTCTGTGGCTTACCCCTGGGACCGTCCGCAGCTTACCCTGCTTCCTCTCTCCTCCCAGTGCTGAGTCTCTATGTGCAGGGAACCCCTCTGGACGGCCTGACTTTCACATTCAGGTGTCCACCCTAACACTACCCACTGCTGGGGACTCAGGGGCTGCAGGCGGGGCCAGGCCCCTCTGAAGAAAGGGAAGACTGGGAGGCCAATCTCACACACACACAAAACAGGCACGGGCAGGCAGAGGCTGTGGGCCCCCGTGGGCCTGGGTCTCTCTCATTCTATGATCGGGCAGACCAAGCAGATCAAGCAGATCATGGAAAGCAATCATCGCAGAACCTACAACATCACAAGGTTTCACAGAAGTAACTGAGACGACAATCTGCAGCACGAGGGAAGAAGGGACTAACATGGGCTGAGGGCTGAGGAGGAGGCTGAGGAATCCATATGAGCTAGTAAGTGCACAAACTCCGCCACACACCAAGATGTCTTGACTGCAAACCAGGAGGTGCTCCTTCTGGAGCCCCGCAGTGCTTCCCACATCCCCGCTCCCCGCCCTCCTTGTAACTCGCCTGTTTTCACCTTTACAGAATAAGGGACGGGGACCCCTTCAGTTTCCAGGGAGACCAGAGGAAAGGGACAAACCCTTATTTGGCACCTACTGTATGCCAGGCACGGTGGCGCATATTGCACAGGGAAGCGGCCCCCGCGGAGTCAGAAAGTCTGGCTCTGAAGTCACCCTGC